TTTGAACAGTTTTATTACATTTACATATAGGAGATAGATAGATAGATAGATAGATAGATAGATAGATAGATAGATGATAGGTAGGTTGATAGATAGATATTTATGTATGTATGTATGTATGTATATATGTATGTATGTATGTATGTATGTATGTATGTGTATGGAGATCTCCATGCCATGGTATGTATAGGGAGGTCAGAGGACAACTTGTGGGAGCCACTCATTTCTACAATGTAGGTTGCTGGGACTAAACTAGGGGTGTCAGGATTGGTGGCAAGTGCCTTTTCCCATGAAGCCATGTTGGAATCCCAGAAGCTCTTTCATATGCCATAGTCAGGAAAAGGAAAAAAAACTTTGAAATATTTATCTTAAAATCTTGAGACTATTAGTATAGAAAAGAATATAGAGTTATTCATGGATATAAACTATAGGATGAGAAGGACTGGCTGAGGTTAGCACCTCCAGTTCTATGAATTGTCCTTTGTGGTTACTGATGGCTGGACGATTTGAGATCTCACCTGACAGACTTCAAGTAGAGTCCATTTTTCCAGAGAACCATATTGACATTTGGTATCAACCCTTTTCCAAGTGAAAGAAAATCATTTGTGCAAACAAAAATACAGTAGCACAACTCCAGTCACCAGAAATCATCCAACTGAGTATCAGTTTCACACAGGAAAGTGACCATCAAGGAGCAGTAGGTGGGTGAGTCTTTTAGATGTCAATGCCAGGGAGCCTGTTTCTCCACAGAGCAAGTGTCAATGGCATGGAACAGGGCTCCTCTGGTGTTACAGATTTTCTCAGCATTCATGAGGCTGGTAAACCAGGACTCCTGAACACAGCAAGCAGTCTGAGTTACTTCACAAAACCACTCGGTGCTGGTTACTTATCTTTTCTGAGATTTGTCTTTTCCATCTGTAAAATGGAGATGTGTTTATTGCATACATGTATATCAAATGCCCATGTTATAGTTTGGATATGCATGTTCCTCCAAAGGGCTCTTGTGTTGAAGTTTGATCACCATCTGTTGAAACCATTAGAAAGTGATAGAGTCTCCAGGAGAGTTACTTCGTCTATAGTCTATTTATAACTTCACAGCTGAATGGACTTACAGAAGGTGGTAACTGATTGGAAGAAATAAGTTACTGGGACATTTCCTAATGAATATATCTTATCCCTAGAACCTTTATTTTTATCTCTGCTTCATTCTATGATGACAGTCAAACAACAACAATGTGTAATGAATCAAATTATAAAGAATTTGGATGCGCCAGATGTAGTGGCACACAACTTTAATCCCAGCACTTGGGAAGTAGAAGTAGGTCAATCTCTATGAGTTCAAGGCTAATCTGGCACACATAGTGAGTTCTAAGACAGCCAGAGCTACATAGTGAAACAGTGTCTCAGGAAGAAAATTGAAGGAGGAGGAAGAGGAAGAAAGGGAGGAGGAGGACCTTAGTTCTGAAGGTAGAGTCCACATTCAGGATATATTTCCTTGAAACTCCTCTTCTGTGAATACTGAATGCTATGGTAGAAGTGCTGGTAAAACAAAGATCTTCAACTCATGGCCATGTCGAGAGAGGAAGAAGAAGGGATTGACATCCCATTATACTCCTTTCAAAGGCATCACCACAATGCCTAGAAGATACCCAGTGGCTGGAAGACCTCCTGTCGGGTTCTACTTCCCTAGGCCTCTACTGGAGGTCAGGCTCTAACACGTCAGCCTTTGGGGAACATGCCCTTGAATCAAACCATTGCAGAGTTAACATTGATGGAGGCAGAGAAAGATGTGGAGGCAGCTGATATGAGTGGTACATCCATCATGAACAGCCATCTTGTCTGGCCTGGTGAAAGTAGACGCCTTAATATTTCAAATGATCATAAAGCAATGTGAGACTCATGCAAAGAAAGAAAGCAATAGTCATGACTAATGTTGTACTTTCTCCTCCCTTGAGTGTATCATTCATTTTGTCTAAGATAACTGGAAAGGGTTAATATTACCTATTAGACTTACCATATTGATTATACTCCTACCTGGGAATTAGAGTGATCTAGAAGCTCATCTTTTCTTTTTCTAGAGCTTTCCCATTCTTACCTTTATGCTCCCATTTGGTTCTCATGTTTTCCTCACATAGTTTAAGGATGGTGTCAGGGAGAAATGAGATGCCCGGCTTAAAATTTACAAATGCTATGTGTGTACTCAGTTCATATAGTTCCTGGGTTTTCCACTGAGTAAATAAATAATGGCAATTGGACAAGATGTGTAGTGTGATGGCTGAGAGAATGGCTTCTAACTTTGAACTGAGTTTAGTACATTACTACATTAGTACATTACCTTGACTTCACCTCTCCAGTTCATCAGTGAATTCAAGAACTGTTAGGATTGTGGAAAACATTAAATGAGATTATAAAACAGCACAGCCACTGAGGAATACACATCTGGGCATTCATGTACATGTTTACTCATGCATGTGGAGGCCAGAAGTCAATCTTAGTTGTTATTCCTTAGGGATTTTTTACCTTGCTCTTTGAAACAGATCTCTCACTGGAACTTAGGGCTTCCCAGTTAGACTAGACTGGCTGGCTGGCAAGCTCCAACTTCTGTCTACTTCCACCTCCTCAGCATTGGATTACCAGCATCTGCAAGGATGCAAGGCTTTTGATGTGGTGCTGGGGATCAGACCCAGGTCCCCATGCTTGCTTATCAAATATGTCACCAACTTGAGCTACCTCCCCAGCCCAGTAGTTTTTAACTTTCAAGTGGGACTAAGACTAAATATTTTCCTATGGTTCAAACCTATTGCATTTTTCATTGTTGGTGTTTAAATATAGGCTTTAATACAACACTTAAAATGTAGAGAACTTCATTTCAGGACATTGGGCTAAAAGGAAAAGAAGGGAAATATTAGCAATGGAAACAAAAGTCTAATCTGACCTGTCCATGCCTCCATCTTCCTCTAGCTTCCCTATTCAGTAGCTTGCCTATGTTGTATAATTAACAATTCACATTTGACTCAAAAGATAAAATACTAAACTTAATTCTTTCTCCCTCCTGTTATTTTAGTTGTGTATATTTTGTTTTTAAGCATGGCTCTTTGGAGAAAACAGAATATGTTTACTACAAAAAAAAACCATATATTCCCTTAACTTAGTAATTTTGGAAGCATGAGTTTATCTCCATGGTAAGAAGATGGGAAAAGAGAGGTATTAATAAATCTTAGCACAGTGGTGATTCACATTTTAAAGTATAAAGGAAAGTCTCCCTAGCCATGTCCCCTCTTAAATCAATACTGTGAACTCTAAGTGTTAAACTGGTGAAAAGAAGGGAAAGGAGCCAGCCTATGCCATGATAGCAGTCATGTCTACTCCCTGGAAACATCTAGAGAAGCAGGCACCTCTTACACACGCGGCTCATAGAACCTTCTCATTGTTTGGGTGAATGGTTCTGTAAATACTTCTGATTGCTTAGCAGTAGATTCATAGATGTGTAATCATGCACTAATCCTTGCATCCTGAAGTTGCCAGAGTGTGTAAGAACCTACAAGATAAGGATAATCGGCCATTTTTATTTCTTCTCTAGGCCAAGTTTGAGCCTCAACCAATCACTTCCTTTCTCAGGGATTTTTCTCTAGGCTCTCACGCCATGTCGAATGGAGTTTCTTTCCCTGAGTTATTTCCCACACTACATTCTGTCAGGATGTATTTATTCTTTCCTATTTTTCCACATGTGATTGAATGTCTACAAAGTTATTTGGGGATACTATAATGTCTCCCTTCTTAGCTGTTATCTCTACATTTCTTGAGATATCTTTTACTCTGTCCTCTGATGCCTTGCCTGTATTCTCTGCTTGTATTTCCTCCTTGCCCTTCATTTACATGGCTGTGTCCTAGACTAGAAAGACATTTAATATAGCGATTGATTTGACAAGGTATTGATAAGCAATAAATTTTATTTCAAAAGTAATCATAAAATAACACACACATATATGTGTGTGGTGTATGTACGTGGTCATATGAGTATGTGTACATGTATGTGCAAGTGCATATATGGACATAGGCATGTGAGAGCCAGAGGTTGATGTTGAGGCTTTTCCTCAACTGCTTTCCATCTTATTTTGTGATACATGGATTTTCACTGACAAAGTCCAGTTCAGGCAGGCAGACTGGCCACTGAGATCCAGGAATCTATCTTTGTTCCTTCCCTCCCTGCCCCCAGAACTAGGGTTACAGATCGACTCAGCCTTCTGTGTTGCTGGGCATCTGAGTATGAATTCTTCTGCTTCAAGTACTTCACAGACTGATTCCTCTCCCCAACCCCCTAAATATATTAATCTTAGGAATATTGCCCATTCAAAATATGTTGGAATGATACCCACATAGTCTTTGAAATTAATTTCAGAGCCATTTCTCAAGAAAATCTCCCTGCTGCCACCTTGCATCAAGAGCTTCCTGATTCAGCCAGATTGGCATTACCAGTCTAACTGGTCTGGTGAGACCTGGTACCAAATACCTGATATCTTCCATGGCTCTTAGCAGGGCTACAGGATGAAAAATACAAGCTAGTAATTAGAAGAAGGAACATATCCTAAAAAGAGACATTCTGTAGGGGTGTTATAAAATTCTGCATGGATAATAGCTGAAAAATTAGTGTGAGCATAGAATTCCTAAGGACTTTAGGATGGTAACTTTATTTTGGCTAAATAGGTTTCCATATTTCTGGTAACGAATTGACCTTGTCCAACTTGAACATAATAAAGGTCACCTCATAGGGCTTTTTAAAATGACATTTATTTATTTATTTATTTATTTATTTATTTATTTATTGTCTGTGTGAGCATGCTCATTTCATGGAGGACAATCAGAGTTCAGAGGGCACTTTGTGTGAATCAGTTCTTTATAATAAACTATAAATAATAGTTTACTATATATTATGTATATCTACAGCATAGGAATAGAGAATATGTTTTTAATAACAGCAATATGTCCTTTATTGCCTCTAGGTCTATATTTGATAAGAAGGAGTTGCTGGAGTTTGCTCAACTTGGCTGCTACTTGGAATATGATCTCTTTGGTACGGAGCTCCTTAATTACCAGTTAAGCCCAGATATTGATATGCCTGATGATAACAAAAGAATTAGAAGGTAAATATTCCGAGTCTTTCACCACATTATTTTTTGCCAGCCCTTTTGGTGTGTCATAGCTGGGTGAGTATTAGCAAAGATTTAGAAAATAGTAAGCAGTCTGAAGCAGCATTGGCAGAGAAAAATATATCTGAGCTGTTCCAGAGAGAAAATCTCTATATATTATTTCAAGAACAAAATGAGTCATAGTAAGTAGGCTCAAGCTAAGAAGAGCCTTAGAAGTTCAGTGCAGATGGACAGCTGACAAGAAACAGATAATACCCCATGCTTGCCATGAGAAGAACAGAATGAAAGCCATTTCCCCACTACCCATAATTAAATCCACTCTTCCTTCCTCAAGTTGATCACACTAAAGCCAAGATTTTCTACAACTAATATTTAAAATGCTTTATTAAACGTATCCATTAAAGGAGTAATTAAAAGGGAAATGATGAAATACCACATGTGAACACCATACAACACAACCTCCCAACACTGTCTAATGAGTAATGAAGAAAACCATGGCCACATTCATTGTTTGATGGAGTCAAAGGACCTACATTGTTTGGTCTTGGTAACAGGATGACATGAAGATTGAAGATTAAATAAACCAAGATGGGAAATCTGAGAGGAGAAATACATCTGAGATTAGCAAAGGAGACTTTAATTTAGGAGTATCTAAGTATTGTAATTCCTAAAATAATAACTAACATTGGGGTGTGAAGTTCAGAGCATCAGCTGGGCTGAGACATAGAGTTAACATTATTAGCTTCTATGAGACTGTTTAAACCTTTCAAGTAGATGAGAACTTTGAGAGAAGAAGGAGAACAGAGACCCAGGGACACAATATTGAATAGACAAAGTCAATAGCAGTGTCTTATGGATAGGTAGAAATGTTTTCAAGCTGATACTGTCAGGGGAAATGTAATGGATCTTAGTGAGAAACAGGCTTAAAGCCAAAGACTTGAACACCTATAATACGCAACAGATATCAGGAAGGATCAAGGCTGAAGGATAATAACTGGATTTCAGATTCAGAGACTTATAAGCAGGAAGTGTGGTCTCAGTCGAAAGCTTGAGGAAAGAGGAGGAGCTGAGGAAGTGGGTGGAGCATGTGACGGCTCCACAGTAGAGCCCTGGAAGAAAGATGCTGGAAGACAACAGGTGATCCAGGGGAGATTCTTCTAAAGTTGAACAGTTTCTGAAGCTAAGATGGGAAGTTGGGAGGGACAGAGACAGAGAGAATGGGTCTGAGAAAGAAAGCTAATTCTCAGAAATTGATATAGGTTTTCTATAAAATAGACTATGCAGTTTTAATATGAATGTCCAGTACTGAAATGGAAAGGTTAAATGAATATTTACTCGAAAATGCTGGAAAGATAAGCAGTGTTGATCCAGACTCCTACGAAGACAAATCGGTAGAACCTGGGGAATGCTTAGAAAGGTAGTTGAAAGAGCATTTCCCATTTGTGTTAGAACAGAAGGCAAACAATATTGTTGATGCAGATAAATACCTTATCAAAAAAGATCAAGAACCAAGGCAACATACCACACAGCCGTTGGGTTAGATGTGTGTTTCCGAGACCTATGTGAAGCTGGAAATCATCGCTGCATGACTGTATGATTTATTGACCATTCAACCATAGACATTTTTAGTATTGATAATAGTGTCAGTGAAGCATTGTGGGTAGAGGCACCAAATGAGAACTCATAAAGAAATCTAGGATTGGGACTTTAATCTGAAAGGTAAAGTTGATAGCCAGGGGGGACAGAAGAAGGTTTGAAATGAAGGTCAGAAAGTAAAAGCTGGAAGTAAGGTATGCAGAAAGTATATACATATTTAGGAGTAACATAACAGAAAAGTTATGCTACAAACTTTAAGAAGCTAATGAGTATATGTGTTAGAAACAGAGCAAAGAGCTTGTAATACCAGCATGGGGAATGGAAGGTTAAGATGTTGGGAACAGAGATCCTGTGATAACAAGGACAGATGTGTGGGATCTCAGAAGGAAACTATTGGGATGGGAGTAAGGAACACTAGACTTGAGAACTGACGCCCACACACTGAGAAGGGTAACAAGTGTGGGACATGTGCACAGTGGGATTGAAGGGACTATCCAAAACCCATGTATATGTCAAAGAACCCGAAGTCTGCTCCCTCAGGAAGGTGACCTTTAATAACCTTGTGCTTTTTTAGACTACTACATATTGACATTTACCTACAGTGATCTCAGTGACAGTAAAATGTGGTTCCATTTCAGTGCCATTAGGTCAAGAGTGCTGGCTGCTACATTTTACATTAGTTGTGTAAAGTGAAGACTATTCCACATAAGCAAACTGTGTTCTTCAATCTGGCCAAGGAAGCTGTCTTATTTGTTTTTGATACTTGAACAACTTCTTTGGCAAACAAATTCTTTTGCCTCTTTTTCCTTCCTTTGGGTATGTCTGTGCAGTATGCATGCATGCGAGGCACACACATGCATGCACATATGGAGGCCAATGGTTAATAACAAGTGTCTTTCCTCCTAGCTCCACCTTCTGTACTAAGCAGGTCTGTTGCTGACACCAAAGCTTGCTGATTCAGCTTGTCTAACTAGCCAGCTTGCTCCTGGGATTCCCCTACTCCACTTTCCAAGGTTAGCATTGTAAGTAGGCCACCATACCTGCCCACCTTTTCTATGTGGGTGTCGAAGACCTGAACCTTTGCTCTTCATATGTATGTAGCAAGTGCATGATTTTAATTTCCATGGTCAGGAACACCATTAGGATGGACAAGCAGGTTTCTCTAAGGGCCTACCAATTTGTGCCATACCCAGAGGTAAACCTTTGTCTACATACAGACTTGGATTTTAAAATAATGTGCTGCAGTATGTCATCATCGTTCATTGTCTCAGAATAACATGTGGTGCTAGAGCAGTGGCTATGCAGGGTTCTGTTGTACAGGCTTGGGGTTTGGTTCCTAGCAGCACATACACACACACACACACCACAACTGTTTTTCAAATAGATCCTCCTTTAATCTTTCATGATGAATGTCCTCAACATATCTTTTAATTCAGTTTGGAGATGAGAGTTTCCACTCTGGATCTCCTTTTGATTCCTAAAGTTTAGGGGGGATGGGTCTCCTGCATCACTATGCCTTCTTCTGTGAGGCTCCCAGGCCTTCTGGAACAAAAAAGGGAGTTTGATAAAGAGGGATATGGTAATGGGAAAATGCCTAATGGCTTCTCAATTAATTCTTCTTAACTAGTTTGGGCTATTAATTCAAGAACAAAAATTTAATTTTGGTTATCTCTCATTGCACCAAATGTAAGCATTCTTTATGTATTACATATTGTGTAATGTATATTGTATAAATATAAAAATATACGTATAGACTGTAAGTATGCTTGTGTATTTCTTGCTTAGATGTGCTTAAGTCAATAGAATACATTTGTTTACTGTTCCAAGCCAGTGATAACAACTGAATGACCTTTGGGGCTGTGTGTGCCCAACCCCCACTGTCCCCATGAGTTGAGTGCTTGCTTTGCACTGTTCATCCATAGTCTTTTCTCAGCTATGGAAGTCTGCAGTCTCCCAAACGCAGGAACGTAGACACATGCTTCTGCCTACCTCTGGTTCTCAGCACCAGAAATTCTGTGTCTAACACCTGTTTTCAATCTTACACTCCATTTCTCAAATCTTATTATATCTCTGCCTTTTCACACTTTGGAGTCTCTCTCTAATATTTGTTTGCAAAACACGAACTCATTTGTATTGCTATAATTGCTGTGATTTTTTGTCTTCTCATCTGTAGTGGTTCCTCCCTTCTGGCAGATTCTTTGTAACTCCCGTTCTTCTGCATGATGCCCTACCCCGAGAGATGAACCCTTGGCGTAGGCATGTCCAGGCACATTCCAGTCGTGGTCAGCATATGATTGTGTTTCTGGAAAGTTTCTCTTCTCCTTTCCTGGGATAGTGTTACAATTTTGTAAGGTTCTCGTTTTTAATTACAACAACTTTATCCATTATATTCTCTCCTACAACTTCCCAACTTAAGAATATTGTGTTTCGAAGTGAAACAAAGGTATATTATAGGCATTTGTCTGAACATATATCATCATAATAACGATACATCAAAATCCTCAGAGAAGCAACCACTCCACCACTGAGCTACACCCTGAGCTTGAAGAGGAATGAGCCCCAGCTTTTCTTTTGTTGCTTTGGGGAAAAAAAGAAGTCTGAAATAGTGCAGGTGGTCCCAGAGTGGCCTGAGGCCAAGGGGGAGCCTGCAGTCCCCCTTTGCTCCAGCTCCTCCAGTGTCAACCTCTGGAGTGGGATTACATCACTGCCTTGCCTGCCTCTACCACTTCTTCTCAGGCAGTGCTGGAGCTAGAGCCCAGTACCTATCGTACACTAGGCCTGAGCTCTACCTTGTACGCTGTGCTTCATTTGCAATACAGTTCTCAGACAATAAGAGAAGATGTAAAACCTTGAGAATGCTCAGGAAAATCAATCAGACAGCAAGAGCATCCCAAAAGCTGCCCTTCCTGTAACATTCCACTCCGTTCATGTTATCCCGAGGTTCAGCATCACACATGTATTCTGTGAGGCTTTTCCCTTTGTATAGTAAATGATCATATAACTCCCTTAGCTAACACCTGAAATACAGTTTGTTGGAAAGTAACTACAGACCAGGACTCCAGGACCAGTTTTAACAAGACAAATAAACTTAGTGGCATAAATGATATTATATGTGCCATGCAGCTGTAAAACAGGTATGGCATCCACGTGTGCCTATGAACTCTGGTTTCTTTACCGAGCACCCAAATTGGATCTTCATTCTGGCACTTACATTCCTTTGACCTTCAAATCAGTCTAGTATTCAATTGTAACTTATCTTAAAAGTTCTCAGAGGGCAGATTTTCCTGCCTTGGATTTTTGTGTGTAGTGTCCCATGAGTCTCGCAGTAGTTATTAAATAGAACTTGTGCCTGAGAATACCAAGAAATGCTCTATCTGCCTATTTAAACAAAGAAAACTCTTTCAAATAGTCAACTCCCAGAAGAAGAGCATGATCTATCCACCTACATCCATTTGGTACTCTTGATACTCACAAGATTTTGTGTACAAGCATCCCAAAGAAAAACCATCGATTGCAAGTTATACCTCTGACATCAAAGGCCCACTGTGGTCAGGGGCAGGCATGGCCCAGTGTGCAGGCACATACAGATGGTGGCTGTCATGAGGTGACTCATGTTGCAGATTACAGCTCTTAACTAGGCAAAGAGGATTACATATTTTTTTACAGCCAGGAAGCTGTCTTTTAGCCAACTGACTATGGATTTAAAGGAACAGCTTGCTATTTTAGCAGCCTTTTGACAAGGAAGACAGACTAAAAACTTTTGGTCAGTTTCATCTAATGTTAAGAGACTGCTACTAAGTCAAAATTCCTGTAGACTTCAGAGAAGCAGATGGCTCGAATACAGAATACTTTGCCAACCCATTTTCATTGACTGTATAATGACATAGCACGTACCCTGCACTTGAAAATCAGCTGACTTAACTCCTATGAAGATTTCTTTTGTTTCTACATTTTAATCACAAATGCCCAGTTACTTGAGGGGAGAGTCAAAATTGAGCCTAAGCATTTTAGAGAGGAGAGCCAAATATAAAATTATTCAGTGAACTGCTATTGTAGACGTTCATTCAAATCGTGTAAGCACTGGAAGCTCTCTTTAGTGCAGCATTACCAGACACTGTCAGAAATATGACTCTGTAGACATTTCTGTGTGTACAGAATGTGGATCTCATTCATACTAAGGTGAAGTAACACCTGCTTGGTATTCACTTAGAATCCCCTGGTATATATGCCACAGTGAAAGGCAGAATCTTTACAAGTACAGTATGGTTAGGAGTGAGAGGTAGCATCTCAAATGTGAGACTACTGGCATGTAACGAGTTAATGTTTTTACACAGGGTCCATTTTTTAGTGGATGAGGGCTATGAAGATCGGATCCTCATGGCACATGACATACACACAAAGCATCGATTGATGAAGTACGGAGGTCACGGCTACTCGCACATCCTCACCAACATCGTTCCTAAGATGCTCCTTAGAGGTCTGACCGAGAGAGTACTTGATAAGATACTCATAGAAAACCCTAAACAATGGCTGACTTTTAAATAGGATGGCTGGAAATGAACCCACCCCTGGAGGATAAAATTAGCAGAGAAAAAAATAGTCGGTGATTTCAAATCTACTGGAGACATTAATCCAATCTACATAGAACGGGTAACTGGTCACTTCCCTCCTATGAGAAACTGAATAACTACCACAGGAAAATCTCTGGTGGGGAGTACTGGGCTCAAGTGAGTCTCATTGTCTTTCCTTAATAAAATAAATATAGAAGAGCATGTTTCCAAACAACAGTTTAAAGCTATATCCCCTGAGAGTCATTTTGGATATCTTCCCCCGCCCTGACTCTATGATCTACACTACTTGAGAAAAATTAAAGTGTTTCTAGCTAAGTTGCCCCCTTCTGGAGCAATCTAATGTTTCTTGTAATATTGATGATTCTACTAATTATCCTGCTGTTCTTTAATTAATGCTTAATGAATAATATGGCATTTTAAAATCACTTTTGCAACAAGGGAAGTTAAATTTTGAGACTTTTTTCTCCAAAGGAGACTGCAATAAAATTACCAATTCACAACAATAAAAATATTTTGTAAGGTTAACTATGTATTTTCCACTATTTATGTAAACATAATAAATTAATTTCACTGACTTTGGCTTTTTGGTCTCTATTTTTACTGTTAACTATGTTGTGTTTTTGAAAAGTTTGTCTAAGAACATGTAACAATAGTGAATTATAAAATAATGCAATCGTAAAAGTAAAAATATATTACATAATATAGTTTAATGAATCATTACAGTTATTATAACAAAGGCCACAATTTAATTAATTCATATTATAATGCAAAGGAAAAGGAGAAATGCTTGCCTTATATATAGTCCCTTTATTTCATGTACCTTTTATTTCTTTTTTCCTCAGGCCCAAACAGAGAAAATAATGCTTATTTATCTAAAGAAAAGGTCAGGTCTATTGGAAATGACAGTCCGTAAACTCTACTCTTTAGAAGAGATCCAGCCATGAAGTTCTGTGCTAATAAAGCCTTTTCAAAATGTTAGTTAAAACGCTTAATTGATGTACAGTGTTGTTTATAAGTTAATCCTTTGAATCCTCACTATGTGATTTGGTACCTAAGACAAATATTTAATCCCTTGCTTCCAATCCATCTTCCATAACTATATGCTGTTAAACAGAAATTAAAATTGTGGCAATTCATTGGTGAGTTACCTTACATATTAGAAGGGCCAAATCAAATTAGTCACTATTCTTGATGAATGATCTAAGTGTTTTTATCATATAAATCACAACAGTTACTCAGACCAAGGCATTTAAATACAGCAAACACCACCTTTAGATGGGAACACCATGCATAACTCTTGGAAAGTTGAGGTTTGCTAAACTGAAGCTATTTTGGTTGATCATAGCTGATCAAACTCTCTGTATATTAGAACAAAAAGTACTAAAGTGGAGTGAGCCAAAAGAACAACCCAATTCCTTTAAAGGGAAAAATGCAAATGTCCTTCCCCAGTAAATGAAGCAGATTTTTAAATCTCTGGTTTTGAAATCTACTTGTCAGAGTGTTTAAAGGCAACTGAAAGGGGAACAGATTTTCCACTGTAAAAGGGGAAATTGTGTGCTAGTAGGACGTGTTCACATGCATTTTGATCTTTCCCTTACACTAAAGAGATGGCTCTTGGCAGTGTGTTTTAACTAGAGAGAATGGGTTCGCACTATACTGTCAGCCTCAATCCAACAGAAAGAAAAGGAAGAATTGACTGCTCAAATGTGTATGTTTCATAAACATTGTGAGGGAGAGATTCTTGCTCCCTAAAGTCCTGTGTTAGTGGTCTGCCAAAGAATGCAGTTAAAGTATCAGTTCCATATGGGGTACAATAACCATGGGATCAACTAACTCTCACATGTGTGACATGGGGCATTGGAATCAACTGCAGCTTGATTTTCTGGATAACTCTTAAAGAGAAGTCACTTTTATTATTTTGCTACTCTATGTATTTGTATCATCTAAAATATATTTCAGTCTAAAATAAGTCAAATAATTTGTGTATGGTTCTGTGTGTGTATACATATATACTTTTTAAATTAGTTTTTTGAGCTGTGCAGCCACTGTACCTAGTGGACTGAAGCCATGTATATATAATATTTTCATCTAACATATATGTATATAAATAAGTGTGTGACAGATATTTATATAAAATATATACACTTTGTTGTCATGTTGGTTCTATGTGAAACTGTTCATTTTGAAATAACCCCAGGCTACAGATTTGTGGTAACTGTTTGAAGGCCTTACTTAGTGTCCCCTTGGTGACGCATGCAGTAGCTCAAATTAAGCTTTTGTGCCTTTGGTTATGAACTATCCTTTGTTCCAAAGAAGGCAAAAGCCTCCATCTGACTTCATACTAAAGAATAAATTTCTCTGACTGTTCAAGAGATTCTAAATGTGTTCTATTGATGAAATGGACACATGGGTTTTTTTCTAAATACCTTACATAATTATACATTTTCACACTTAGTGGGTAATCCTATGATACAATTTCAATCTCTATTTTTTTTAAAGACTATCACCAGAAAAGGGAGAGAAAAAAAATTCACATGAAAAAGAAAAAAAAAGATATGTGAAAATGATCACAGGCTTGGGAATTCCCACAAATCCAGAAAATTCCAGGTTAAGGCTTCAAGTTGAATCATTCCCAGGTCTAGCTCTAAAGATAATCAGAGTACAAGGCAAACAATATCTTTGGGGACAAGCAGCATTACTTCAATTAGACCTTCTCCTGCAGGGAAAAATGACTCCTCCCTACACTACAAATAGACTCCAAGTACCTTAATAAGCAGGTAAACTCACAAGAACCAAAGCTGACACGTGGATAAAGCAGCAAGATCACAGTACACCAAAGTATCATAGATATCGAAGAAATAATTCAGTGTCTTAGATTTTTCTATAAAACTTTGTGGTCTATATAGGACTTCATTCACATGGACACTAACAATAAGGAGTGTTTGCTTTGGCGGTAGTGGATCACACATCTGCTTATCTTGCGTTAAATACTTTTTTACATAATGTGTCTGAGTGATACAGATGTGAGTCAGGTAGCATTTGATCTCCCCACATTTACACAACCGAGATGCCCTGCAGTGGGCATCCTCTGGGATCCTTGAATCACTGACGTTAGCCATACGAATCCAGCATTCAAACTCAGAACAGCAAGCTCAGTCTCTGCATTATCAGTCAGCATAAATAATAAATCCAGAGAATGTGCTGTATTTGTTGTTGTTTCCTCCGTGGGCTTTCCCACCATCTAATTTGATATAGACTTCATCTCCTGGTTCCAGGTGAAGGACCACACTGTTACTGGCATAGTCGTAATTCTGATCAGCATCTTGGGCAATTGCACTAGCCCGCACCTATGTGAAACAGACAAGAGTTAGAGTTTGTAAAAAAAGAGAATCTTCAAGTAGCCCTTTTTACGAAAAAGCCGACTTGCAGCCACAGCATACAATGTAGCACACTGATAGTGCTGTTCGTCCCATAGGTTTAGAAGGAATTTCCATAACAACTTCAACTATGTTACTGGAAAGAGAAAAGAGAAAAATATTGCTTTAATAAAAGACATTGCTACCATCCTTTCTATCTTTGTAAATAAAGCATGCCGATCTAATTTCCTCTTCGATTGCTGCTTTTTCTGATTCCTTGACTCTCCACATCCAGTCACATTTTGAAATGGAAATGGCAGTATTGTTTTGCATTTTAATTTAAATCAAACAACAGCATCCCAACTAACTGTGTACTTCAATGGATCATCACAATTATTAGAAATCTGATGTCTCCAGTAGTAAAAGACCTAGGGAAAATAAAGGAAGAAAGGTTGGTTTAGAGCTTTGAAAATCTGATACATGCAAAGCCCCTTTTATCCAGGCTACTTCAGAAGCAGCTTGACTCACTTAAACCTATTTGTTTGCATCTTCCGTATTTCCAAACTTCTTTTTACGTTTTTGGTGTCTCTTTATCATTTAATTATATGTGCCTTTAATTTAAAGTCACCAGCTCTAAAACGTTATAGAAGGGATTTAATGTGTGACCTGAGATTGCTCAATTTCTAGGACTGGTGGATGCTATTGTTGAATAGCTCTTCCTATGTCTGTGATTGTCAATGTGTCTGGCTTTGAGGATGGGAGCAGATTATAATCTGCTTATGTTCTGCCTTTGTCTCATTAGTGGGTTGATCAACATTTGCAAACAGTCAAATCGCCCATCGTGTCATATCATATGGACATTCTGCCACGATTCCTCGTCAAGCTATGCTTTAGCCTCATTTAGACATATTTTGATTCTGCCATGGGAAAATGTTTCAAAAGGCAGGCTTATGTGTGGTTTATTTCAGTAACGCATCTACTCTGTGGCTTGTTTCAGTTGTACTATAAGGATATTTCCCTGAATAGCATAGCAAATGATTTAGTGGCTTTTGTAAACCAGCACTATGTAATAATGTATGACTTGGGGTATAATATGTTAGGTTTTATCACTTAGCCAAAAGAAAGAAATGAGACATAAGTCAAGAATTTCCATATATGTCTTTCAAAATGTAAATGATGAGTTTCCAAATTAAATTTTCATGGGAAGATACGTTCTCACATTAATGCTGAAATGCCATAAAAGGAGAAGGCTCTTTGACACCCCTGAGCTTGGAATGTAATTTGAGTAGTATTTTAACATTTTTTTTTCTTTCTGGGTATCATGTAGCAGAAGAAGAGAAGGGCTTAAAGGATTTGGAATTGCTTATCACTATGCTAACTGGCATTAATATAATGAAACCAATATGCTGTGTGATTACACTCAAAGCTTTAACTCAAATGTGCTTGCCACTGGTCAGGAGATCCATTTTAACCATTACGTAACAATGCCCTTGGACTTCATAATATTCTTTTAGGAATTATTCTTTAGTTTGTAGAAGCTGAAGGCTATCATTTACTCATTCCATCTAGCTATCAATTCTTAGTGAAGAAAATCTACACAATGAGAATATCATCACTATGGCTTGACTATTACAGCATGTGGAGTTTTTTAACTTATGTGCAAAAATTAAAATGTAAAGTCGCAATTATCTATATTAACAATATGTTGACTTATCATCAAACTGATGTCTTTCTCAGTTATTATTGATGAGGATAGAGTTTATACAGCAGTTTTATTATATGCTATATAAGTGTTGTCCGTTTTCACTGTTTTCTACATGGAAACTTTAGGAGCCAGGACTCCTTGAAATCTTTGATTTAGAGACTGTAACCTTTTGAAAATATGCAATGTGGGTTTTTGTTCTTTAGACTAAATGAAGGAAGTGTTGCCATTTTCAGTCCAGAAAGCACAAGCAGAGAAACCTGCTAATGCAGTGGTGTGAATCCACACACTAGAAGGTTATCCTTTGCACTTTTTATTTCCTTTGTTGAATAAAACTATTGTGGTCGCTTTATCACAGAAATCAATTTCCTAACATTTTAACCTATGCAGCAGCCCAGGACTTTCCCAATTAAATACCCACCATCTGCCAGTGTCTGTGATGTCAGTAGCCTGTCCACCCATCACACTCTAAGAGTATAATGGGACGTGGAATTTCAAGCTCTGATATCTATCCCAC